ATGTGTATGTAAATAAAAAAGGTTAATGGCAAATGAGGCCAGAAAAGTAGTTGTCCACCCTTGTACTTTAGTCTGCACACGCCTATTCTTCATAAACCTATCCTAAACGTGAATGTATCTTCTCATGCGCCTCAGCGAGCCCTTACCCGTGGAGTTCCCCGCCCTTCCACTCACCGCGTCGTCGGCCCCGAAGACGCGCTGCAGGCGGTCCTCGTCGAACACCACGCCGTTCTGCCGCGCGGCGCGCTCCAGCATAACGCGCGCCTGCGACGGCTGCCCGCGCGCCATCAGCCAGCGCACGGGCTCCGGCAGCACCCTGCGCCCCCGACAGACGCTCACCCACGCCGTGCCAACTAGGGTGGTTCGTTTGATGATTTCGAGGTTCCGTGGCTGGAGGAGAAATCTAGAAACTGACTGCAATCATCGGTAGTTTTCTGTGGTTTCTCCGATCAACACCAAGCGAATGCTAGAGCAGTATCCTAACAAACGGGCAACGAAACGCGCGTGATCTTTCCTTCCCATTCCTTGTCATATTCTCACCCCTTATACGCACCAACACTAAACATGCACATTACTTTCACACGTGACGGGAAACCGGTGGGGAGCTCAGAGCTTGTTCCGACTGGGGCGGTGCCCCGCTGGTAATAAATACCTGGTTGGGAAAAACCCTGCTAACCGACGGTAGGTCGGCGCCAGATTACGCCAACCAGCGGGGAAAGATCCTACCACCACCACCACCACAACCACCACCCGAATAACAACACGAACTACATTTACGGTACTAGTGACCTTAGCAGTTGACGTGCCCGGAATCACTGGTAGTCGATCGTCGTGATTTTGAGGGCGACGACTGCTTTAGTAATTAGTCTCGTAATTAGTGCAGTGCATGGTTTTATCAACGAAGGTGTCAGTGGTCTTCCCCCAATGGGTCACCAGATTCGGCGCCGACCTACACATCGACTTTCTTCAACCAGGTATCGTCCACCACCGCGGAATTGCCTCAGCGGGAACAATTTCTAAGCTTAGTCAGATTGCATTTGGTCTTTTATTTTAAATACAGAAAATTGTTTAAAATACAATATGATTGCAATATATTATATGTGGTACATAATAGCCATAGCAACGTTTCGGAAGATAATTATTTCCAAATTCAGGCTTAAGTGTCATAACAAATAAATACAATATGTTAAACAATGGTCACATTTAAACAGAAGATTTACGTAATACCAATGTACACAAGTCAATATACGAAACACATCTTGAAAAGATCAAATACAATCTGACAAAGATGAAAAATCTATAGACAGAAAAGAAAATAATAATTTTAATGCAAGCTCTAAGCTCCCGACGTATGGTAGCGTACGTAAGTGTAAGAGCGTAAGAAAGGAGTGAGAATAGGATAAGAAAGAGGTAAGAAACTTCGCGCGCTCTTCGTGACCCGTTTGTTAGGGAATTGCTCGGGCATTCGCCTGGTGCAATCCGACAAAACGCGGAAAACTCCCAATCAGACAGCAACTGGCCGCTAGAATTGCAGCCGCTCCTGCAGACAGCGGCTGAATTCGACCTCGCTACCTAGCCAATGTTAAAAATCCTGCCACCGTCGGGACTTGAACCCTACGACCTCGCGCTCAGATGCACTGCAGTTATTCGGGTAATGTATTGTTCTAGTTAGGAATGTGACATCACTACATAATAGAAAATTAATTTTTGAAAACGCCAGTGCTCAAAATGTGTGATGTGTATGATAATATCACATCGTCCCCCAAACAATCGATGATTTTAAAACTAAGAGATGGTGACCTCTAACAATGTTAACGCGGGAGATTTATATTTGACGTTGGTCGTGTTTATTCATTTATAACTGGGATTTAAGAGACAAAATGAAGTAGAAGAATTATGAGAACAATAAAAAAATACCTGATAGGATAATATAAAAATAATAGACTATATTTATCTATAAAAACTGCGCTAACTTTATTTTTCACACCGAAACTTTATTTTTTACTCTGAATTGAAGACGATACTGAAAACGATTATAGTTTTTTGTTATTACGATATTTTGTTCATTCAAAAACAAATGTTATGTACGAATTTTTTTCAAACATAAAGATATTTAGAAAACGTCGAAATCGATGTCGCATCCCTAGTTCCAATTCTGCCTTATAGAATGCGAAAGCCTGTTTGCAGCCCGTGGCCAAACCCACTGCGGGTGGAAGTGGGTTCATTTCTATTGCGAATGGCAGAACGAAGGTCGAAGAAGGAAGCGTCTTTGAACGTAAGGTTTCACACAAGAAGTTTCATTTGTTGTAATGTAAAGAATAAGAAATATTAACTCTGGCTTACAATTTGGTGTTGTAGATTTGGATGGTACCGTTCTCTATTAAACTTAAATGTTTGTTTCAGACCGCGGTATACCTACTTTCCCAACCTAACATCCCCCTGCTTCGTCTATCTGGGACACGACACGAAAACTCGAGGTCGGAAAGCATAGTTTTGATCAAGCCCTGGCAAGAAGCGGTGGCGAAATGAGAGCAGGCGTGCTCGCCGTGCCCACGTTTAGAGTACCTGGTCACAGAGTAGCGTGTTCCGCCATTTTATATCCAATGTCAGAAAATTGGTTGATTCATGTTTCCGGGCACGTAACTGCTATGGTAGTAGTTCTGTTGAATGATATCGCGGGAAGAGGCGAGGATCCTCCCCCGCTGGATAGTGAGATACGACTCCAACCTACACGTTTATGGGGATTTCTTCCTCCAGGTATCTCCACTAGCTAGGTACCGCCCCAGCCGGAAGAAGCTCTTATCTACCAATTTGTTTCCCGTAAGATTTAGTAATGCATGTAAGTATGAGTGAGTGCAGGGAGAGGCTAGGACAAGAAAGAGGAAGGAATGATCGCTTGCGCTCTTTGGCTCGTTTGTTAACGTACTGCATTCACCGGATATATTGATAGTTATCAGAAGAGTTTGAAGCGTGTGATGGGAAGGACTGTCATGGTAAGACAAATCTCACTGAATCTTTCGATTAACGTCGAATGTGTCCAAAGCCTGAAGCGGGCTTTAGAACCACGAAAGATGAGAGTTAAGTGATGAAAATTTAAGCCATCAAAGCATTAGATATACCTGGATGAAAGTTTAAACCTTTGTTACCACTTAAAAGCAGTGTCTAGCGATCACTTCTTACCTGGCATCCTTACAAAACCAGCTTACCCGCACATCGGCCGAGATGGAAGTCAACCCCGAGATGGTAGTCAACCCCGAGATGGTAGTCAACCCCGAGATGGTAGTCAACCCCGAG